GAGACGACATCGAAAACATATATCGAAAACTAATTAACATATTCATCGATTTCGATTAATTTATGTCACAACTTTCGATGAATTGTCGACTCAGAATAATTCGATTTCGACTCAATATTGAGTACTTTTTCCTCACTGCAGCTATATGCTGAGTAGTGAAACTTGAAATGAGAAATATGAATTTTTTTTCTTGCATTATATGTTGAAATATGAATTTATTTCAACATATAATGCAAGAAGAAAATTCATATTTCTCATTTTTACTAAAATATAAGTAAAAATTTAATTAAAAGTTGATAAAAATAATTATTTATTTGTTTCCAATGAACATCATTTACAATATAAAAGTTATTTTAATTAACTTAAAACTAGGCACGTTACAGATACAATTTTTAAAAATCACAGTCAGTCAAAGACTCAGTCTTTGTCGACTCAGGTCGACATTTCTATTCAGTCACAAAAAATAAAATTAGTATATAAAATAAAAAATATTTGAAACACAAAGGAACATGTTGATATGTATTACAACGTATTATATTTTACAAAGAATATTAAGTTTAAGATATTAACTCCACATTATATCTCGAATATATGAACAAAAAATATGAAAAAGTAAAAGATTAGAAATTATATTTCACTTAAAGTTATTCATAAATAATTCGATAACTTAATACTAATCTAAGAGTGAAAACTGAAGAATAACATTTTGCTAAATGTTTATAATCCAAGCTTTTAAAACTTTATAAAATTAGCAATGCTCTGTGTGATGAAAATAATCTATAATTTCTAACTTTGTTCAAATAAATCAAATGTTAAATTATTCTCTGAAACTAAAGATATATATTTAAAATGATAATACACGCTTATTTATTGAGCCTTAGCTTGTTCTAGGTGCTATTTATTAATATATCTTACATATGATTGACGTATATCTTACATATAATTGTCGAACGTTTCGGCACCTTTTTTGGGCCTTCTTCAGCGCTATAACGGATAAAATTTACATTCTTTTACTAATAAAAACTTACATATAAACTGACTACTTATAAATTTTTGGGTCTTCTTCGGTCCTATTACTGTTTTTACTTACAATCTAATTTTTGTTGCGTCTCTTAGTTAAAATTTAAACTGGTTGTTTTTGGTGTAGTTCTCTTTTGTCCATTTTTATGAACTTTTGTCCATCTCTTGCTTTTTTCAGTGTGTCAGACATGGCAACTGTTGATTTTTATTTATTGGTTTAATGTTCTTAATTGACTGTAATTATGATTTCAATGTGTTATTAATCTTTATTTAATTAAATTGATTGTGCTGTTAGTCGTTCTCACCTTAATTCTTCTGACTGGCTGGATTGCTTTTTATTGGGACTTGTTACTTTGTGTGTTGTTCATTTCATACTAAGTCGTCTTGTCTTGTGAGATCGTTACTGATGGTATGATTATTTGTTGATTGGAGGGAGTGACCTCAGTGTAGGTAAGTAAGTATTTGGTAGGAAATCCGTATCACTCTGTTTATTTATTGCTTGTGTGTGTCTTTTTATGTGTATCATTTCTGATATTAACCGTTTCCTGTATGTTGGTTCCTTGTCTAATATTTTAACATTGTCCCATTCAAATTCATGGTTATACTCTATTTTATGCTCTGATATTACTGATAGTGTTCCCGTTTTTTATTTATATCTTTACGGTGTTCTTTTATTCTGGTTTGTAATTGTCTACCTGTTTGTCCTATGTATGTGGCTTCACATTGACTGCAATTTATTTGGTATACTATGTCATTTTGTTTTTTGTGTTCTAATTTGTCTTTACCGGTTTTATGTATGTATTTAATTTATTGTGGCAACTATATGAGGGTGAGAATCCGTGTTCTTTGATTTTTTTTCTAGTTTCTTTGTGTCATTTTTCATGTATGGTATAGTGAAATATTTCTTTTCTTTTTCTTCCGTTTTTTTGTTATGTTCTTTGTTTACCGTACTTTTTTTGTCGTTATTATATTTGTTAATCCTATTTCTCATGTTCTCGAAAATAAATTTTAGTGGGTAACCGTTTTCAAGTAATGAGTTTATTGCTTTATTAAGGTTGCTCTTGTGAAATTTGTGATGTGACAATGTTAAAATTCTATCTGTCATATTGCTAATGATTGCTCTTTTTATGTTGTATCGGATGGTTTGAGTTAAAATTTAAAAATCTGTCTGAATTTGTGGGTTTTTGGTAGTGATTGAAAATTATTTCATTTTGTTCTGTTGTAATGAGGGTGTCTAAAAAACTAATTGAGTTGTCTGGTCTTATTTCTATGGTGAATTTCAGTCTGTCTTCTATTGAGTTGAAAACGTTCAATGTTTCTTTGATTTTGTCTGTTTTTGTTGCAATTAAGATGTCATCTACATATCTTACGTATATATTGGGTTTGTAATTTAATAGTTCAATTGCTGTGTTTTCTAAATCTTGCATTACCATGTCTGACACGATTGGTGACAATGGTGAGCCCATGGGTGTGCCATAGATTTGTTTATATATGATGTTGTTGAATGTGAAATAAGTGGAATTCAATATTAAGTTGATTCCTATTAGAAATTCTTTAAGTGGTATGTTAGTTTTTTCTTTTATGTGGTCCCATCTTTTGCTGATGCTTTCATTAACTTTTTTCTATTGGTATGTTTGTGAATAGTGATATTACGTCAAATGAAGCTAAACTATGGTCTGTGTTAAATTTTTTCCTGTTAGTTTTTTTACTAGTTCATAGCTATTTTTTATTACATTTTCTGGTTTAGGGATGTTGTCGTTCAGAATTTTATGTAAATATGTTGCTATTTTATATAGAGGGCTATTTATTGTAGATATTATGATTCTGAGTGGATTTCCTTCTTTGTGAATCTTTGGCACACCATACGACAACATCCCTAAACCAGAAAATGTAATAAAAATAGCTATGAACTAGTAAAAACTAACAGGAAAAAATTTAACACAGACATAGTTTAGCTTCATTTGACGTAATATCACTATTCACAAACATACCAATAGAAAAAGTTAATGAAAGCATCAGCAAAAGATGGGACCACATAAAAGAAAAAACTAACATACCACTTAAAGAATTTCTAATAGGAATCAACTTAATATTGAATTCCACTTATTTCACATTCAACAACATCATATATAAACAAATCTATGGCACACCCATGGGCTCACCATTGTCACCAATCGTGTCAGACATGGTAATGCAAGATTTAGAAAGCACAGCAATTGAACTATTAAATTACAAACCCAATATATACGTAAGATATGTAGATGACATCTTAATTGCAACAAAAACAGACAAAATCAAAGAAACATTGAACGTTTTCAACTCAATAG